AGAATACAAGCGGGTTTTAATTCAACCCGGCGAAATCAACTCATAAATTAATCGGATGCACAATCAGAAAAATACTCGCCTCTTAACAAATGTTCAAAACCTCTTATTCCACCTCAGACTGAGGGAATGATCCGTTTTTCCTTTAACATTGGTTGTTCTAAATCCAAAGTAATTTTCAAGCGACGAAAAAAAAGCAAACACGTCAAATAAAAATGCTTTACAGGGAGCAAACGTTCGCACCTCGTGCATTTCATTCAGAACTCCAGCAAACAAACCCAGTCAACACACAGAAAAGTCCGCCTTGAGCCTGCGATAAGGGATGCGCAGAAGCTTGCGCAGAACGTTTTTCCGCCCTGAAAACAAGAAGCGACCACCATTTTTGTTCCAGAACAAAAAGGAAACAAGGATGTTCCAAATTAAATATCCCCATGCCAGTATGGATAAATTTTTAAGCGCTGTGACGCTTGAAACTCCTTAATTTAGGCAAAAGTCGTTATCTGTCTTATGCATCGACAGGTGTAAAGGACTTGATGCGTAACCAGTAAGCTCCAGTTATGTGAAAGAGATTCTAGATATAATTTAAATCCACGAAAGGCGGTCGGCGCCGACGGCATTTCACCGCGTCTTTTGAGGCTCTCGGCACCAGTCAAGGCTGAGGAGATTACACGCTTGATCAACTTTTTGATTGCTAATCGCTCTTGGCCAGACAAATGGAAGTGCGACAATTTGACACCCGTGTTCAAGAAGGATGAGGACACGCGAAAAGAGAACTATCGCCCTGTTTCGGTCCTTACGGCGTTGTCAAAGGTCTATGAGAAAGTTATGTACGATCAACTTTATAACACTTTCTGTCGCCACTTGCACAAAACCTCTCTAGATTTCTAAAGAATCATTCGTGTTGCACCGCTCTTCTGAAAATGACCGAGGATTGGAGAAGGAGCCTTGACAACAGAGAGTCAGCCATGGCCGTGGCCGTTGATTTATCAAAGGCTTTTGACTCTATTAATCACAATCTTCTGTTTGCAAAATTGAAAGCCGACGATCTCTCTCAATCGGCCATGAGTTTGATGTCATCCTATCTACTGGGTCGTAAACAGAGGGTTTGTTTGTACGGTGTGTGCTCAAGTTATTCAGAGTCGAGGGCGAGGCTTCAAAAGGGGTCCGTCCTCGGGCTACTGTTGTTTAATATATTCATTAATGACTTGAATTATGCGGTCCCGAACGTGTCTTTGAGATTATACGCTGATGACATGACTCTGTATGCATCGGATGTCTCTCCCATTGCCCTGCAATTTGTTGTGAACCGGGGTCTCAGCCGCCTGTCAGAGTGGTTCAATGCAAACTATTGGTTGATAAACAATGCCAAGACGCAAGCCCTTCCGATCGATCCCTGCAAGTACGACTTTGACTTAACTTTGAATGGTTCTGGCGTTACTAAACTTCCCTCTATCAGAATCTTGGGTGTGGAACTTGATAGCATGTTAAATTTTATAGAGCATATTTCTAGTCAGCTAAAAAAGGCGTATGCGAAGGCCGGCGCACTTAGGAGAATTAGGCATTTTGCACCTATGGACGTTACGTTATGCTAGCATTATACGTCGTTCATTTTGCCACATCTAGAATACTGTAGTCCCCTCCTGGTCGGGGTGGGGAAAGTCCAGGCCAATAAAATTGAAGACGCCAGTCATTATATATTAAGGACTCTGACAGGGCACGGGAAATCATTGTCCTACCAAGAACTCTTGAATATATGTAAGTTGAACACTTTAGAGTGTAGGAAAAAGCAGCAATCTCTGATCCTATTATTTAAGTGCATTCGGAATATAGGGCCAAAATACTTAAGAGACTTTTTTAGCATAAGACAGACGTCTTACAATTTAAGGGGAAGTGGTGTTAATCTTTGCGTTCCCAAACTTAACCTTAATTTCATGAGGAACTCTTTTACATACAAGTGCGCTCAACTATGGAACAAACTTCCAAAAGATGTCAAGCTGGCCGATAATGTTAATATTTTCAAGTCTAAGATAAGGTCGACTCAGCTGTAACTTTTTATATTTTTAATTAATTAATTTTTTTTTGGAATTTTCATAATCTTTTATATTCATGTGTAGATAGATTATAGATTGTATGTATATATATTGCTGTTATTATTATTATTATTATTTTTTTTTTAACACTAGATTTTTATTATAACTGTAGTTTTAATGCACGTGCGTATTTTGAACGAGCACTTGGCTCTTAGGCGTTTACGTGGGTGAATAAATTATTGATTGATTGATTGTCTGTCGCAGGCTTGGTCCCATTAGCGTAATTCAAAACCATTTATAACACACGAAAAATGCAGTTTAAAAACCAAGTTCACTGAATTACGTTTGTCGCTAGTACCGTGAATCATAATTACGATCACGACCAACGAACTTTGAAACATGAAAACTCACAAAATGAATTGAAACACTTATCACACATCACAAACCATGGCCTTTTCGATTTTAATTCAATGACGTACACTTCTCTTGCTAAGTTGATTGACGACAGCAGAGAACGCAAACGTTAGTTTCCTTTTGAACTTGGCGTTCTATTGAAAGTCACAGTAAACTTGCCAATGCTCTGTTTCACTCACACCACCTGTGTTTCCACAGTTGCTGTAACTTTGTTTCTATTAATATACAACAATAACGAAGTCCAGCTATAACGCGCTTTCTGATTGGTTGAAAAAGCGTTCTTTATGACAGTATAAAAAACGGAGCTAATTGAAGCTGTCACATCATCTGCCAATATGTTGTTTTGTTTTGAAAATTAGAAAGTGATGCGGGGGGAATTTAAAGGATTCTTTATCTTGAAACAAATAAACAAGCCTTGACTGAGCTCTGTTTGACCGGCTGCGTCTCGTGTTTAGCCCTACATTTGTTCCGTGCTGTAGCCGCTTTCTGTTTGCTTCAGTTACAACAGAACAGAGAAGAGTCGGGGCTTCTTTGTTTGTTAATTAAAAAGCAGTTAATAATTTATATTTCCAGTTTTTGCTAGAACGAAAAACTGAAGGAAGCTGCAATTATCTTAAATAATATGTTCGTTTTGTTAATATTTAAATGAAGTTTGCAAGTTGCATAATTATTAAGACTATACTCATTATATACGCCGTTCATATTATAAAAATTGTATTCTGGATGAATTAATCGTTGTGTCGCTTAAAAAGGGAGCAAGCATTAGCCTTAACCTTTGTAATGTATTCCTTTATTAAACGCGGAAAACTCCAGGTTTAGAGATTCACAATAAGCTAATATGCAAGCACAGTTTGACCATAAACCTTTATTAAGCGGCTGTACCCTTGGGGCAAAGCTAAGTAGCCGTTTAATGGAGGTTGGCAGCTGAATAGAAGATCGTCCGAAATTTCTTAAATCTTTAGCATAAAATTCCCTTTATTCTGAAACAAAAAACTTTAGAGGTTTCTGACAACTTCCACTTCCTTTGTACGGTTAAAGTGGTTTCGTGTGAACAGATCACCAAAACGCGTGAACTTCAACCGGTCCAAACATTCGTCCTCTAGGCACTTGTGAAGATAATTCTACAATTATTTTGGGACTTTGATCGCTGGCCTTAACGTCAGTCCAGAGATTGAATCCGTTGTTAACGTGACCAAGCAATTTTGAGCTCTCTTCCTTCAAGACAGCAAATCAGCTCAGTATTTGCTGGAAAGGTAAGCGCTATGTTAGGAGTCATTGTGTGAAAAAACAGTAATAAGCCTTTACAACCATTTAACATTTCCCAGTGAACAGCAAAGCCCTCGTATCGCGAAGTTTTTTTCATCTTGCTAGTAGTCACCGCTGTACAGTTAAACATGGCTGAATTTTGTCTTTCTTTCAAGCCCGTAGCTTAGATACGCAATACCTTGTAGAAAGAAGATTTTAAAAAGCTATAGTTTCAGGGCGGATCCAGGATTTTTCTTAGCAGGGCGCACACCAATGAAGAATTGCCATTTTAACTACCATTTTTATGGCGTTTAACAGAAATTCTTCAACCTCGTCTCATGCTTTACTTCAACACCAATAAACCCCAAGTTTTTTTTTCATCCCAGAAAATCAATTTTATTAGAAAGCCGCAGGTCACCCCAGGAGAGGGTGCGCACCCCCTCCCTTCTCCCCCTAGATCCACTCCTCAGTTTTTTGTTCTTTTGTAACTAGAAATTTTAAAAATATTTTCCTTTGTTTTATGTTCTGAACCATAACAGAAATAGCAAAGGATAGGTAAAAAAATACCAAGTAACAACCCAAACATTTGCAATGGGTCAAAACAAGAAAGGATGTTACAACATGTTTTGAAAAACAAATGTTTTGTTTGCTTCAAAGGACCTACCCTTTATACGGAAAACATAATTAATAATAACTGTGGTTAAAAGCCCTTAAATGATTACAGGAAGTGAACAGAAAGCAGCTGTTAGCATGAGTGGGTAGCAGTCGCGTAAGAAAGTTAGGGCGCAAATAATGGCGATACCAGCGATGAAGGGGAAAGCGCGTACATTCCTTACCTAGTTCTCCGCACAGGCTGAGAAATGTAATAAACGATTTTGTTCATTCTTCTGAGGTCATTAAAAGGGAAGTTTATATTGACAACAATTTTAAACTCAGCAATCATTTTTTGCGAAAGTTTTGGCAAAATTTAATGAAAAAAGTATCTTGTATACTTGTGGTTGTCAGAAAATCATATATTTTTTATTTTTTTTTTTGCCCTCAGTTTTCAGTCAACCTATTCATCTTTATCTCCCCTCAACAGGTGCTTTTGATTTTTTCTTTCCACAGGTGAAAGCAAGGGTTTTATTGCAGCGTTAACAAAAGTATCAAGAAATTTACGTTAAGGTGCGCACTCTATCGAAGAATTGATATTTAAGAAGTCGACTTTAGCCCTCTTAATTCATCTCCTAACTTTCCTTTTTCAACTAAACAAACTTTATTCGATTTCTTTCTGAAGGGAGGAGAAAAGAGAATTGAAAGGAAACAATGATCTCCATGGCGATCTCTTCAGCCGAGTGCAGCACATGGTTGGCTGTATCCCTTACTATAGCGGTTGCTGTAGTTGCAGTGAACTTCCTATCAATTATTATTTTTGTAAAGAACAGTAATCTTCGCACTCGTTCCATGTACTTGGTCATAAACTTGACCGTGGCAGATATGTTTGTTGGAGGAATTTCCACTATCAGTATAATAGTATTAGTTTTTCTCCTCAACGATTGCGAAGCTAGAAATGTGTTATTCACCTCTAGTTTTAAGCGGGAATGGCAACCTATTTTGCTTGTGCTTTTCATGATCGACACCTGGCTTTCTCTCATCTCTGCAGCAGGTATTGCAGCAATTTCTTTAGATCGGATGCATGCGACGTTTCGTCCATTCAGGCATCGCAACATCAAAAAATGGGCGTACGGGGTAACAATTGCGGGCGTCTGGATTTTAACTGCGTTGATATTAATAACCTTTCCGTTAATAATTCGGTATGGGGACTGGCTACAGCAACAGTGGCAATTGTTATTTCCTTTCTATTTATGGCTCTCATATTGTTGCCTTTGCCTTATTGTTATCTGTGTTTCCTACACCTCCATTGCTTTAAAATTTTGGTGTGGAACCCGTCCTCCGTCACATGGTGCTGCCAATAGACAAAGAAAACTGACTGTCACATTATTTATAATGACCATTGTATCTTTGCTGTTGTGGTTACCAGATATTATATTGACTTTTCTTTTTTTGACTGTTATACACAGTCTTTCTTTCACGACATTTTTACGTTTGAAATTGTATTTTATTCTTCTATACCACACAAACTCGCTTGTTAATCCCATTATTTACACAATCAGAATGCCAGAGTTCAGAAGAGCTCTCCTAATATCATTTAAACGTCGACAAAGAGAAAATGCTGTTATTCCTCTTCAAGCCCGTTAATTTATCATGTCTAACACTTTATTGTAAGTTCAAATGATGACCAGTCAACTATGTCAACTTTTGGTCTTTTGCCGAATGAAAAAAACTCTTGAAAATAGTATTTTAATGCACAGTTTTATTACTAAACTTTATATCGATAGAGCGATTTTCCTATGACCTTAACTGAAAAATGGTTTCGGTAAGTATTTCGTTATTGGTTTTATCAGCCAATGAATATATATATATGAAAAGATCAAAACATGGACTCTTCTTTTTCCTGCCAAAGAAAACCTTAATATGTAGAAGGCATTGTTCGATTGGCCGGTCGTGTCGCAGTATGACGTCAAAACGAAGTATCGATTAATTTCTGGAAAGTTCTCGGGCATGACGGTTTTTCACCCCAACGTTTGCTTAACCAACCAGAAAGTCACTTGCGTTTGTATCCGTTCGATAAACCAATCAAATCGCTATATTTCCTTTCGTTAGTTGTCTCTGTTTTGTTCGCGTGTTTTCATTTCAAGGTCATACGAAAATCTCTCTAAAAAGAGGGGGGTGAATAGGTCCGCGGATCGGCGGATTTGGCCTTAAAAAGCTCACGGATTGTGGATTTCGGCGATAAATCGAGGGGATTCGCGGATTTGAAAAATACCGTGGATCGCGGGTCAGCTGAAAGTTTTGGCCCGGTTTCCGGATTCTGTCAGTCTAGAAGTTCGGATTGTGGATCGGATTATCAATTTTCGGTCAGCCTTGGTCAATGTGCTGGTGTTTTGTCGGCTAACGTTCCACTTCCGAGGTTTCCGGAAGAGACTTTCTAGTGACCCGACGTATATACATGTATTCTAGTATAGACAGCGTGACGAAAATGACGTCAGGCAACCTTGCGCATACCTGAACCATGTGTCACCATGCAGGAACCACATTCATTTCGTAAGATGAGAGTTACTGGATTTTTGGGCCCTCACATTTTAATGCTAGGATTGACAGCGACTCATGAACTATAAAAAAAATCAAATTTACAAAATGGTCGGTGAAATGATAAACTGGATTTTGCTCCTTATATCTAATGCTAGGACTGACGATCATTGAGTACAAAACAAACTACGAGTAAATGAAACTCTGTATCTGCACCTGAAAACAAATGCAGTTTGCCGTGGCTAACCCTTTTACCCGTTCTGTTGTTTAAAGTGGGAACATGTTTATGTGAAAAAGATTATGGTCTCAAGACCTCCAAGGTGAACCATGGAAAATACTTACTGGTAAGCAAATTACCATGAAGTTGAGTTCTGCCTCTTCCGAATTTTGCGGCTCGACTAGAAGCATGTCCAAAGTGATGTCAGTAAGTAAATTTATTGAAAAATCTTTTACGCAACACCAGATACTTTCATTTTGCAAACATGCATACTATTTGATTAGTCAAATCTGTATCATTGGAAGAAACATTATAAGCTCTGTCCCTAATGCTTAATGTTTTGAAGCTGTAACGAAAACTTCTTAAACATGAAGTCCCGCATCTGTTGCTTTTCATGCTACAACGCTACTTTCTATATACCACGAAAAATTTTTAAAGTAACACGGATTCGGATTTGAACAAAAATTAAGTCGGATCGACAGATCGGGCCTAAAAATACCACGGATCGGCGGATTTGCATACCCCTATTCACCCCCCTCTGAAAACACTGTAATTACAGAAGCTGTTGCTCATTTAAAGGGGCTTCCTCACGCTATTTGCTAATATATTTTTAAAATGGATAAACAGTCCTTCGCATCAATTGATTTCCAAAAACAATGGTCCAGTTTTGTTTTATTATTTTTTTAATGACATATTTATGCATTGAAAAAGTCTTCTTGTTGTTTTTGCAAAGGGTTGGTAAGGATGAGCCAACGTTTTCAAGTTTTAGTGTTATCCATGCATAAAAATTATTATGGTTAGTCGGCTCCCTGACCAATTTGTTTGATATCTTCTTTATAACTCTACAGGAACATTTTTGTGTACGGCTAAAGGCACTAAGTAATGAGGTCAGCAAAGATTTTACCTAAAACAGCAATATTCCCGTGTCATAGCTCCTCTAACCAATTAAAAAACCCATTAAATATTAACTCGTTAATATTCAGTAGGCGTAATGTCCAATGAACTTGAGGAATTGTCCAATAGAATTGACACTCTTCTCGAGCATTTTTTTTCCCCTCCTTTACGATTATTATGAAACTTAACAGCTGAAATTTCATTCATTTGGATAGTCATATTGCGAAGGCAGACAGACGCTTAAACTTTGTAACCCGAGGGGTACTCCCTACAACGGCCTATACCAGGAGGCTCCGCCTTCATGCATATGAAAGGGTAGGGATTTCACTTGTTGAAGTACATGAAAGGGGCGAGAAAGGAAGAAAAACGGCTAAAAGAGGAATTTCATGGCCGGGAAATGGTCTTAAAGACATCCTAGTTTAGCGATTTAAAGGGATGCAGTGTTAACTAGGTATGTGAACTGAATATCATTTTCCAATAGAAGGTATATGAAAGGGGTACCAGTTTCCGTCGAAAATGGTATATTAAAGGGTAAGGGGTTGGACCGCAGGGTGGGTTCGCCATATAAAACTCCCCTTCTCGGGGGGCTGTGTACTTCAGTTGTTCAATGTATTTTCATAATATTTGACCAAAGCAGCCTTTGTTATTTTGGCTGCTTTTGTTTTCCATTTTGCAATGCATTATTTAGCAATCCTATTGAAATGAAATACTAAGGGGACATTTTTGAAGCTCTTCATTCAAATCACGCACAGCGCGTGTTTTAAGCATTACATACACTTCAGTAAAACCAGCGGCTAAGAAGTTTGGTTTTAAATTTGCCAAATTTGCCAGTTAGGCCTTCTCTATATTAACCTGTTTAGGCTAAAATTTGAAACAGGTCCCTATTATTGTTAAAAATCAGTAATACAAATCTGTACACTTAGGCACTAAAATAACTCAACTTTCAGGGTCCTCCTTGGAGACATAGAAGCCTCAACTGCAGTGTAATGGTATGCGGGTTTTACAAAAGGAATAACTGGATACAATGTCTTTTTTTTTTCAGTAGAAAATAAGAACCTATTTACAAACCAAAATAACCTAAATTTATGCTAATTTCCTTTTCTGTAAGAACCTGTTTAAAATGCAGGCTCTTGGTTGCGGGTTTTTACTGTATTTAGCTAATTTAATTCGATCTTTTCTTGACGTTTTTAATCAAGATAAAATATTCGCTATCAACAGGCAATTTCCGAGTTCCACAAACCCTCCCTTTCCCGAAGCAAGGCTAAGAGCAAATCCTTTTTGTGATGATAAGTTTCATTTGCATGGGAGTAAAAAAAATGTCCGATTTTCATTGCAATCATTTCGCTTAGAAACAGATGGGGTAACTGAAAGATGGCCTATTAATATTATACATTAGGTTTTTAGAATTTGTTGTTATACACGGTTTCATAGTGTAATATTTTAATTTGTTTTTTTTTTTTTTTTTTTACTTCGCGAAGCACTACTACGCATGTAAGCTGCTAATGCGTATGTAATCGGTAATACAAAGGCTTGAGATTTTCGCGCGAACTGCGCAAGCCTCACAAGCCCGTAGGCCCAGTATCAGCTACTCAACCTTCCTTTCACTTAATCGTTCGCGGCCACGTTCTTAACCAAGGCAAAAATACGGGCTGTTTTACATTCTAATATGTATGTGGCCATTGATAAAATGTAACAGAGTATATGTAAAACGAAGCGAAGATCTTGTTTCTTTGTACACCTTAATTTCTACTTTATATAGGGCTTGTTAACTGTTGCTAGACTTTCTAAAATGTCAGTGTCAGTAAATAAACCAATTTAGAGTATTCAATAAACTTGCTATTTGAACATGATTTTACCAGTGGTGTTATCTGTGATCATGGCTTTTTAATAGCTTTAATAGCATAGGTCACAGGGAAAGGGTACAGACTATGATGAAATGGGAATAAGACACTTACACTGTAGTATGGGAAACTTGTCGGCATCACGAACTCAACTCTCAGCCGTTTCTGAACAAGCCAGCAATAATACCGGGCTTTATCCGGTTTGGGAAAAGGATAAGTTTATTGACCGAGACCCTCACTGGTACTCTCGTGTCTCGTAGAGTTAAAGAGGCTATGGTCAAATAAGACTTCACCTTAACAACATCAGACATTTTAATGTTAAAACAGGGAAAGTGGAATAGAGATTCCTGAATCGTAGATGCCCTACGATTAGACAACACAACAACCGATCAGTATCACTGCAGATCGCTGAAAGAACATTCTCATCCTCAAATTATGCCAACAGTTCTTCGTATCGAAGCCCAACAACCTTAATTGCAATTAAAGTTCTCTGTTGACTAGTTATTGGTTTTCACTTTTTTTTAGGTCCATTTTTCGAGTTTGCTTCTTGTTTCGTAATATAGCGAATGCAGAATTATTTCAAAAAGACATTTCTTAAAAGAATCTTCGAGAGCTTCGCTTTGGCCTTATCTACATATTGTTTGCTTACTGTGAATGAAGGGGAAAAGCACCTGAGCTGTTTTCAAAGAATATACCTTAGTCTAAACCTTTTCAGCTCTTTTCTTTTAAGCGATTTATATAGGAATGATAGATCTGCGACTCGACCGGGGAAAATGCAAATCCTCTAAGTTAAATAGTCATTTTTCTTTTGCCTTTCCTGTTGACTCAGGACCCCCTGTTGCTTGATAATTTTTTGATTAAAAATGCTAGTTAGAGAGAATACACCAGTATCTATATAATATTCGTGGAACTTCTCTTCAATCTTTTAGCTCGACTCAAGGAAAGTCTACAAGATCACCTCCAGCGTTCATCTTCAACAGTTTTAAGCATGTTAAAAAGACTCGGCTCAAATTGAGGATCGGTTTAACCACAGGCTAATCAATATGACATTGAACAGTTCGTAGTAATAAGCAACAGACCACAAAAGAACGACGATTTCAAACAAATTGAGCCAAAACCGGTTCATCCTAACCGACCACGGCCCGCCCTAATCTTGTACGTAATTTACTTCTTTTCACCATTCGATCTTTACACACTACAAAAGAGTCGAACCTTCTGTAAGCGACCACCCAAAATGCCACGTCTTGCGGGAGGTATCCACTTACGGGAAAGAATCCCCAGGGGGTCTTTACCGAGAAGATGCCCGGACAAATCTACTTTATCGAAGATAATATAGTTTGTTGCATGTAATTTCTAAGCTACATCATCATACAGACGTCGACCTCATACAAAATGCATTATCTCACAATTTTTCAAGACAAATTGCTCTCATTCAATATTCACAACCATCGAAGTACGCGTGGGCTTTTAGCGTGCCTAGTTGCATGTTTTTTCTTAATAAGTTCTTCGTATATTCTAAGTAGTATAGTACACACAGTAAACATAGAGGTCTACGGTGGCCGGTAGGAACAAAACAGAATCACAAAACTCAGAACAGAATCACAAAACCCTGAAACAAAATCACAAAACCCAAAACAGAATCACAAAACTCAAAACAGAATCACAAAACCCAAAACAGAATCGCAAAACTCAAAAGAGAATCACAAAACTCAAAAGAGAATCACAAAACCCAAAACAGAATCACAAAACTCAAAACAGAATCACAAAACCCAAAACAGAATCACAAAACTCAAAACAGAAACACAAAACTCAAAACAGAAACACAAAACTCAAAACAGAAACACAAAACTCAAAACGGAAACACAAAACCAAAAACGGAAACACGAAACTCAGAACAAAATCACAAAGGAAAGAAGGCACACAAAGGACAAAACGTAGACACACCCTCCTCCCCCACCATTCATTCCCGTACCTTTTTGTCTCTTAGCCTCTCGACTGCCGCCGTTTAGTGAGACAGACGAGACACTGACACGACTGACACAGTCGACACACGTCTACATGTGTCATGCCATCTCATTCATGGCCTATGGTGTAAGCCACTTGGAAAGGTTTCCAATTTCACCGGAAGTAATGCTGTTTTTTTTTTTTATTATTATTATTTGTATCCCGAGTGCGAATTTAATTTTTGTTTTTTACTTTTCTCGCATACAAAATTTTGCTTTAAGCCTCAGAGAACGTTAAATGGAAGTCAAGAAATGTTGTTGGGGTCGTTTCTTTGACTGCATGATAAGCAGTAACAAATAACGAAAGCTTGCTTTTTTAAATTTCTCTCCTGCCTCCGCCATCGTATAGATCCAGCTTGCCACCCTTTCTTCTCCCGTCTCCCATACCCCTCCCGCCCCCTGTTCTCCCGGGCTCCCGCCCCCCTGTCTCCCCCACCAACCAAGACGGAAAATCACCGAGATTCCAGGGTGGTATAGATATTCTAAGGGTTGGGGGCTCAACGCATTACAACACGTTTAAGTTGTATCTGGTTCTGAGGCATCTTGTCATGGAACGATAACCCATCAAACAGCCTGGTCCATTTAATTCATAGCGTACCGCTCGCCGTATTTCGTGAGCTGCACTTTCGTTATTTCTCCTTCGAAGAATATATTTAATGTTAATAAGGTATTTTAGTTGTCTTACGGTTATAGGAATGCCGTGGTAAAGGGACAAAAACATAACGATGCTAGCGTACTTGTAACCAATGAATCAATATGAGCGTATGCAATCTTCCAGCGAAGCAAAATTGCTCACAACCGGACAGGCGGGAATAGCATTAACGAAAACAAGTTGATATAATAGAAATACGAAAACAGTGGGGGAAAAAGGAAAGTGATTTACCAAAGAAGCCATGTGCTACACTGAGCAGGAGGTTTAACCTTTGTGATTACACGTGTCAGTCTTAATTAGTAACCTGGCTAATCCACTGTTTTGTGTTACTGTTTTTTTTTTTCTCTGTTATCTATTTTGTATTTCCGTTTTTGGTTTTGTGTTTCCGTTTTGAGTTTTGTGTTTCTGATTTGAGTTTTGTGTTTCTGTTTTGGGTTTTGTGATTCTGTTTTGGGTTTTGTGATTCTGTTTTGAGTTTTGTGTTTCTGTTTTGGAATTGTGCTTCTGTTTTGGGTTTTGTGATTCTGTTTTGGGTTTTGTGATTCTGTTTTGAGTTTTGTGATTCTGTTTTGAGTTTTGTGATTCTGTTTTGGGTTTTGTGATTTTGTTTTAGGGTTTTGTGATTCTGTTTTGTTCCTATCGGCCACCGTAGAGGTCAGACAATGCGTGAGGTTATCGTTTCACAAGAGGTTAAAAACAGTGGATAATCATTAAAACGACAGCTCCCAAAAGTGGTCGTGATCGCTTACAGGAGGTGGTCGTACACTAGAGGTTCCAACTGTAAGACTTTGACTGGGAAAAATTTGGTGTTTTGGATAGATGGTCGCTTACGAGAAGTGGTCGCACATGGAAGTTCATCCATAGTAGAAAACATGTATTCCTAAAGGGCGGACCAGCAGTTTTTGCTTTAGTTTATACTTAGTTGGATAATCCAAACTTATAAGTGCACAATAATGAAAACAAGGCTAAGCAAGGAGCGACCACAAATTTTGTTCCGGAACAAAGAGGAAACGGGATGTTTCAAATTAAATATCCCCATGGCAGTATGGATAAATTTTTAAGCGCTGTGACGTTTGAAAATCCCAAATTTAGACGAAAAGTCGTATATCTATCTAATCCATCGAAAAGTTTAAATGACTTGATGCCTTTGTCGTGGGCTTGGTCCCATTAGCGTAATTTAAAACCATTCATAACACGCGAAATATGTTTAAGTCTTCGTGCCTTATAAATATCGTTCGAAATCGTACGATAAGGAAAAAAAAATGGCAAAAAATTGCGTTACTTCGGATTGCCTCCAAATTTCGCCCACAGGAAGTTACTAGATTTAGCCAATTATGTGCCTAGTTCCAGCCTTCCAGTCTTGTGTTTCCTTCCACACTTCTTCCGTGCTCTATCCGCTTCGATTCCGGCGTGCTTCAATTCAACAGAACATACAACGCACTCAAGGCTTCTTGATTCAGTCAAGGATTCTGGAGGATAACAAGCAAAACAAACGCAAAAATCGAGGTAAGAAAACAGTCTAAGTCTGCAGCACATGTTCTGACAGCGAACAAAATAAATTTGTATAAAATTCTTAGCCGCTCTACATTTTCGATCGATTTTCGGGCTGTACTGTTTTGCTTAGATATTGAAAAAAAATGTTTATTACTACCATATTACGCAAAATGGACAATTTTTCTGTCAAAATGAAATTTTTTTTAAAAGAAACATCAACGATAAAAAGTAACACGGCGTTTCGATGCCTCTACGTCATCATTATCAAATGCGAAGAAAATTAGCAAGATTTGGTGATTTATAATTATTCAGAAAAAGAAAGTGTCAGGAATATGTCAAGTTAAATTCAGGCGTGAAAATGGAGCAAACTAACAATTAAATAAAAGGTTTCGCCCGCATGGAGTCCACTTGAATGTCACCGAAACGTCGTGTTACTTTAATTTATCGATGATCTTTCTTTTAAAATGTATGTAATCAATCGTTATCAAAATGATGTTCTTTATAAATTTTTTTAATTATTATGTAGAAAAATGTTTTGTTAATTTTTTTTGCGGAATATTATGGGTCTCCTGAGACCGAAAATTTTTTTTGGAAAGTTTATTCTTTTCCATTTCCAATGAGGTATAGCTTTATATGGAACTGTAACTAACAGCAGAGATATGATTTTTTAAAGTTACATGGTCAATTTACTTAAAATTTTTTAAGAAGACAATGAGTTTTAAAAGCCATTCATTCAGAAGAAGCGATAGTTTCTTGGTTTGAATTTTGGTGACGTCATGTGAAAACCAAGAATTGAAAGCCACAGTAACCTTGCCAATGTTCAGTTTCACTGACACCACGTGAGCTTCCACGGTTAACGTTGCTGTAACTTTGTTTTTATTAATCAACAATTACAATAAAGTCCAACTATAATGCGCACTGATTGGTTGAAAAAGCGTGCTTTATGAGTGTAAAACACGGAGCTAAAGCTGTCACATCATCTGCTAAAGGGAGAATTTCTAAAAGGAGAAAGTAATGCTTGGGGAATTTAACAGATTCTTTATTATCAAACAAAATTAATAAAGAAGTCTTCAATGAGCTCTGTTCTTTTAGGAGAAACTCTCGACTACGTCGTTGGTAACTAAAAAGCAGTTGGTAATTTATTACTTGTTTTTGCTAGAACAAAAGACAGAAAGAAGCTGCAATTATTTTGCATAATATGTGGGTCGTTAGTGAAGTTTGCGAGTTGTATAAGACCATAGTCGTTATACGCGTTCATATTATAATACATGTAGTTTGGATAAATTAATCGTTGAGTCGTAAATTTAAAAAGGGAACAAGCACGAGCAGTAGCTTTAACCTAGGTACTGTTAGTTTCCTTTATTAAACTCGTGTTAAAATCCAGGGTAAAAACTCACACTTCGCTGATATGCAAATACAGTTGAACCTCCACGAAGCGCCCACCCTCCGAGTAACGTCAAGTTGCTCCTTGCAGGTGCGTAGCGTAAGATTTTGAAAGTGTGCGCCACGTGAGGAAGAAAGTTTGCAGCGCCGAGGGCGGTGTAATTGGTTCGGTTCGGGGTCTTGGGGCATGCTCCCCCAGAAATTTTTTTTTAATTTAGGGTCTCGAAATGCCATTTCCAGCGTTTTCTGTAGGACATTTTCAGTAAATTGATACGAGGAAAATGCAGTAGTTAGTTGTCTCTTGCTTGTCGGTAAGGTACAGTGCCTTCAAAGTGATGTCGCTCCACCTATGAAAAAACAACGGAGTGACATGACCTCTGAGCGAGTCGCCCGTCGATGAAGGAATGAAGTCGAGACATCTTTACTAGCCTACTGGGCATGAAGATAAAACGCCATATGACTTTAAAGGAAGATTTCGAAACCGAAAAGTACATCCACATCATCCAAGGTCCTCACGTCGCGGACATCTTATGCAAAATGGAGAAATTAATGGGTCGTGAATTTTGCTACGTTCTTGTAATTTTTCGGAATTGCAAGGACCACACTTATAGTGAACTCACTGACAGATATATGTATAAAAAAACTATAATGTGATGCGTCTTAATGTATAAAACAAAAACATTTTACGAGAGAAAATAACGAATCGGTACTTTGTTTCTTGAGTATCAAACTCTAAATAAAATTTCATCTGACCTGCTGTTGAGAAAAATTTAATGCTAATAACTTATATGTTAAATATATATTTATGACAACACTCCTTTGCCGAGTGTGAAAGATTCCCAAGCTGGGCTGACTTGTTTCGATGTTTTATTGCGAGGGATACAATACTTCTCCTTACGGTATTATTCAGCTTGTGAGAGAATCACTGTGCAAAAATATGGACATTTCCATGTACCACTTTATCAACGTTTACAGGAGGAACATGAAATCACCACGTTCCTATGAGCAGCTTTGTCGCGAGGTACATGGAAATTTCCTTGTTCCTTTTAAACAGCTTTGTCTCGAGGTACATGGAAATTTCTAAGTTCCTTTTGATCAGCTTTGTCTCGAGGTATATAAAACTGTTCCATGTTCCTTTTAAACAGCTGCTTGGCATTAACATGGAAATTCCCATGTTTCTTTTGTAGAAATATCCTTAATTAACTCTATTTTTGACAGTGTGTCTTAGTTTTTGGCAGTTGTAAGTGGTCTGAGTTTGAGGCGTTTAAGTGTCAAAAAACCCCAAAATGTTCATTTGGCAGTTTTGGCAAATAATTACCATTTAACAGCAGACGTATTAAACATATTTCGTAGTTTCTATCATAAGACGACGGCAATTTATTAGCTTTGAGCTATCTCTTTACCACAATTGAAAATACAAAGACGGTACTTGCAAGATTTCATTAGATTCTCCTTTTCCTCATTTTTTAACCTAACGCTTTATTGATGTATTTAGCAAAATTTAAGCAGTCAAAGCAAATTGTTACTTATTCTCGAGGTACATGGAAATTTCTAAGTTCCTTTTGATCAGCTTTGTCTCGAGGTACATAAAACTGTTCCATGTTCCTTTTGAACAGCTGCTTGGCAGGAACATGGAAATTCCCATGTTTCTTTTGTAGAAATATCCTTAATTAACTCTATTTTTGACAGTGTGTCTTAGTTTTTGGCAGTTGTAAGTGCTCTGAGTTTGAGGCGTTTGAGTGCCAAAAAACCCCAAAATGTTCATTTGGCAGTTTTGGCAAATAATTACCATTTAACAGCAGACGTATTAAACATATTTCGTAGTTTCTATCATAAGACGACGGCAATTTTATTAGCTTTGAGCTATCTCTTTACCACAATTGAAAATACAAAGACGGTACTTGCAAGATTTCATTAGATTCTCCTTTTCCTCATTTTTTAACCTAACGCTTTATTGATGTATTTAGCAAAATTTAAGCAGTCAAAGCAAATTGCGACTAAAGAGGTTTCATTCTTTCAAATAATGACAAAAGGGTATTTTTGGCTGAATTTCGTAACTTTTGGGCAAAAAAAAAAATCGCCAAAATACTCATTGTTTCCCCTTAAATACTACTTTAGAATATCAAGTATAAATTTAGAAAGTGTCATTACGGCTGCAACTGTCAGAACTGTTACCTTAACTCAAGCGTCACGTTCACTCCTGCTATTAAAAGGGTGACAAATTAACAAAGGGAACAATTTACTGAGAGTGTACGAGACTTTATATTGGAAGAGTTTCAGTGAACGTTTATTCTTATGATTTTAAACGGCGATCATTTTAAGGACGGTGGAGCAATCTGTTTATCTTCACGTTGAACGAAGAAACGCTTGACATCAGTTACGGCAGTCCAGGAAATGAATTCCTTTGCTAACTTGAGCCAAAATTTTTCTGCTGTCCTCCTTCAAGACAGCCAACCAGCTCAGTATTTGTTGGAAAGGTAGGTGCTATGTTAGGACTTGCTGCGTGAAAAAAAAACATAACGATAAGCCTTTAAAACTATTTAACATTTCCCAATGAACAGCAAAGTCCTCGCATCGCGAAGTTTAAGAAAAATGAGCTTTAGCACCGACGACGGCAACGTTAGCGAAAACGTCACTTTAAAAATAAATTCTCGTTTTTTCAAACTTTCCTGCGTATATTCCTGCTCGCTTGAAATGTCAAATGTGGGCGAATTTTTCTGGAGTTGAAATTTTGGCAACCGCACTCAAGTTTAAAAAGATATCGAAGAAAAATTCGCCGTCGCTTGTTAACGTCACGTCGTAGTTGGGTGACAGCAGAGATTTTAGTAGTCACCGTCACAGTTAAACCTCGCTGAATTTTGTCTTTCTTTTAAAGAGAAGCTTAGATTCACCATACCTTGTAGAAAGAAGATTTTAAGAAGCGTTTGTAACTGGAAATCACCAAAAAACCTCTTCATTCTTTTAGGTTCTGAATTATAACCTAGAACGTTGAGCCTTTTAAAGTTCATCGAAGGATAAATAAGAAAATACCACTTTAACCACCCAAACAATTGCAAAGGGAACAAAACAACAAAAGATGTTACCACATGTTTTGAAAAACAGATGTTTTGTTTGCTTCAAAGGCCCTACCCTTTAACGGGAAACACAAAACACAATTCTGGTTAAAGGCCTATAAACGGTTACAGGAAGCGAACAAAAAGCAGTTGTTAGCATGAGTGGGTAGCAGTCGCGTGAGAAGGTAAAGGCGCAAATAATGGCGATACCCGCGATGAATTGGAAAGGGCGCACATCCCTTACCTAGTTCCCTGCGCAGGCTGAGAAACTGTAATAAACGATTTTGTTCCTTCTACTGGGGTCATTAAAAAGGAAATTCATATTGACAACATGTTTAACTCAGGGACAATTTTTCTGAAAGTTTAGGTAAAATTAAAAAAAAATTGTCTCTTGTTTACTCGTTTGATAGGTCTGAAAAAGCAGGCCTACCGTTCAGTTAATTACTTCAAATCCTGGTAATGGGCAGAAGGGTTGTAGCAGCGAAGGTCCGAGTACTAGGAGTTCGTATGCAAATTAAAAAAAGCTAGTGAAGTGTATTCCTTGATTGGCTTATTCATTCAAAAATATTTTTCGAGCCACGATAACTTGGAAGTTGGTTGACTTTCATTGGCACAATTAGTGTGCGATACAATTTTCCAGTCTCTTTGTGAATATTTGATGGATTATTCGAGTTTGATGGTGGACATACTCTTAAAACGTACCCGTAGGGTACTCCCTACAATGGCCCATACGGGGAGCCTCCGCCCAAAAGGAATATCTCATTTAGGCTTTGGGTACATAAAAGAGTAGGGATTTACTTGCTGAAGTATATGAAAGGGTAGGGAAATGTATCATTTCTGTCTGTAAAAAGGACCGAAGGCCTAACAGATGCATTTTATGGCTGTGTGAAAGTCTAGATAACGTTCTAGTTTTGTGATTAATTCATATTTAAAGAAATTTGGAGTACAGCAGTTAAAACGTGAAAGGAGTACCATTAGTCGCGAAGGGTAGAAGGTATACAAAAGGGGTACCTTTTCTGTCATAATTAAATGGTATACAAAAGGGTAAGTGGCTGGACCTAGGGGCGGAGCCTTCCCGTATAAACCTTTCTTGAGTACTCCCCCCTTCACAGCGAAATAAACTTTCTACCAGGTGATCAATTACTTCTTAGTGACTTGAAGTTCAATGAGCGCTAACAACAACAGCTAAAATTCACATATATTTTTTTACCCTCAGTTTTCAGAAAACTAATTCATCTTACTCACCCCCCAACCGCTGCTTTTGATTTTTTTCTTTCCATAGGTGAAAGGCAAGAGTTTGCTTCAGCGTTAACGAAATTATCAAGCTGTTAAGGTTAAGGTGAGCTCTCTAACGAAGAATCTTTCTCAAATACAATCTCCATTATTCTTGATATTTAAGAAGTCGACGTCAGCTCTCTTAGTTCACCTCCTAACTTCTCTTTTTCAACTAACCAAACTTTATTCGATTTCTTCTTGAAGGGAGGAGAAAAGATAATTAAAAAAACAATGTTCTCCAGGAAGATCTCTTCAACCGAGTGCAGCACATGGTTGGGTGTACTCCTTACTGTAACTGTTGCTGTAGTTGCAGTGAACCTCCTATCAATTGTTCTTTTTGTAAAGAACAGTAATCTTCGCACTCGTGCCATGTACTTGGTTATAAACTTAACCGTGGCTGATATGTTTGTTGGAGGAATTGCCATTTTCGATGTAGTATTTCAATTCCTCCTCTACGGTTGCGAAAGTGAAAATATACTTCAGAGCTTTTTTAAGCGGGAATGGCAAGCTGTTTCATTTACCACGATCAACATGTGGCTTCCTCTCACCTCTGTAACAGGCATTGCAGTAATTTCTTTAGATCGGATGCATGCGACGTTTCGTCCATTCAGGCATCGCAACATCAAAAAATGGGCCTACGGGGTAACAATCGCTTGCGTCTGGATTTTAACTGCGATGTTATCAACTTCCTTTCCGTTAATGATTCTGTATGGGAACTGGTCACAACAACAGTGGGAATTGGTATTTCCTTTGTACCTATGGCTCTCATATTGCTGCCTTTGCCTTATTGTTATCTGTGTTTCCTACACCTCCATTGCTTTAAAATTTTGGTGTGGAACTCGTCCTCCGTCCCACGGTGCAGCCAATAGACAAAGAAAACTGACTGTGACATTATTCATAACGACCCTTGTATCTTTGCTGTTGTTGTTACCGTATGTTATATATATTTTTGTTTCTTTGAGTGTTATACGCAGCTTAGTGACATTTTTTCGTCTGCTATTATCTTTAACTCTTATATACCACACAAACTCGCTTGTTAATCCCATAATTTACACAATCAGAATTCTAGAGTTCAGAAGAGCTCTCCTGATGTTACTTAAAAGTCGACAAAGACAAAATGCTGCTATTGCTCTTGAAGGCCGTTAATTTACCTTGTTTAACACTTTATTGTAAGTTCGAAAAGATGACCAGTCAACTATGTCAACTATTAATTGCTCTTTTGTTGCATGAAAAAACCTGTTGAAAATAGTAGTTCAATGCATAGTTTCATTACTAACTTTAGATCGATAGAGCGGTTTTCTTATGACCTTGAAAAACGGTTTCGGCAAGTGTTCGTTATTTGTTTTATCAAAAAACAAGGACTCTTTGTTTTCCCTAATGCATGTGGAAACGGCACCGTTCGATTGGCAAATCCTATTTAAGTATGACGTCAAAGCGAAGTATCGATTGATTTTCGGAAAGTTCTCGGGTATGAAGTTTTTTTCCCCCGAGCATTCGCTTAACCAACCAAAAGCCACGAGTGTTTGTATCCTTTCGACAAACCAATCAAATCGCTCTATTTCTGTTCGTTTGTTGTTTCTGTTTTGTTCCCGTGTTTTCATTTCAAGGTCATATGAAAATCGCTCTAAAAAGACTGTAAATGCATAATTATACAGCAGATGTCACTCATTTGAAGGGGCGACGTCACGCTACTTGCTATCTTTTTTAGAGAGATAAACAGTCTCCTCAGATCAATTGATTGAAAAAAATAATGGTCCAGTTCAGTTTTAACTTTTTTAGACTATATGACATATTTAGGCACTGAAAACGTTTCTTTTTATTGTTGCAAAGGGTTGGCACGGATGAGCCAAGGCAACGTTTTCAAGTAATAATGCTATCCATGCATAAAAATTATTATGGTTAGTCGACTACCTGATGAAATTTGTTTGATATCTTCTTTATAACTCTACAGGAACATTTTTGTGTATGGCTAAAGGTACTAAGTGATGAGCTGGTCAGCAAAGATTTGCCCTAAAACAGCAATATTCCCGTTTCATTGCTCCTTTAACTGATTAAAAAAACCATTAAATATTAACTCGTTAATATTCGTGATCAGTACGCATATTGTTAAATGACCGCTTGAGGAAATGTCCAATGGAATTCACACTTTCTTTCAATTCACTTTGAGCAATTCTTTTCCCTCTTGTACGATTATTATCACACTGCTGAAATTTCTGTTATTTGGAGAGCCGTATTGCGAAGGCAAATAGACTCCTATTAAACCGTGTTACCCGGGAGAGCTACTCCCTACAAAGCCCTACACGGAGAAGCTCCGCCCGAAAGTGGTACAATTTTCAGCGTTTAGGCATATTACTGTATATAAACTCATGTAAATATTTCTTTTCGTAACACATGTAAATATTTTTGCCCCATTGTGATTTATTATTATTGTATATTAATTTGTTATTATTGTAGGTTACAACAGAATAGCCCCGTAAAGAGGAGTCCTAATAAAGTGTATGTTATGTTATGTTATGTTATGTTATGTTAAAGGGTAGGGATTTCACTAACAGGGCTAACAGACATACTTTATGTCTGGGAAATGATCTTGAAGACATCCTAGTTTAGGGGTTAATTCATGTTTAAAAGATAATGTATTTACATCAGTTACAGGGATGCAGCGTTAACTAGGCGTGAGAGAATTAGTTGTTATCAAAGCTCTGGTTGTTATAACGGTTTCACTGTAAATTACGCCTTTTAATTTTTAAGCACTTCTACGTATATATGTCAGGACTGCAAACAGCCGGGTTTATTTTTTCCTTAATCGGGTTTGGAAAGACGCGAGGGGCCGACGTGACATTTTCGGGACAAGCGGCGTGCGAGCTTCACACGCCCGTAGGCCTAGTCTCACCTTTCGTTTTCACCTTCTCGCTCCAGACTTTTCGTTTGACCGCTCACGCGAGCGTTCTTAATCTCGATAATACACTCTTCGCAGTCCCCTATGTTTTTTTAAGATCGTCAGCATCGAGCGCTTCCCGGTACGGACGGCCCATCTCGATTTGATATGTGTCCAGGGGGTACATATGAACTTCAAGATAGTCAAGATGGCTGCCCGTAGCTTTAAGCGCTCGATCCTGACGATCGACGCGCGCAAGCCACCATTATAAGCTATATGTCATGCCAGCAAAGTTTAATCCATATAAATATTCTCCTGAACCGTTTTACTAGTGCGCTAAAGCGCTTCCTAAACTCCATTTGTTCAGTCCATATGTTATGTTATGTTATTCAAAGTAGACAGACTGCAAATTATATTAGTTGCTAAAAAATATATATCTAGCTGTCGCAACTGTTCATCAGTAGGATACCTAAAATGCGTGCAATTCCACAGTTGGTTTCGGCTCCATTAAATTCTATACCAATTGCAGAACATTTTAGGAGGAGCCACCCACCATGTGAGCATAGTCACGGACAACACATATAAGTGAGGAAAATAACGCAAAGTAAAATTAAGACGTCAATTAACGAACTAAATACACGTCATTTAAATAAATAAACAAATAATGTGCGCGCTCAAAATAAAATTGTCCACGCACACGTACCGAGATACAACTGAAATACAAAACTAAGCAATAAATAAGTAATGTAAGGATGCAATGGTGCAATTCAAGCCTGGACTGCTAATCTCATCACCCGCAGGGCTGCACCATACTTCTCGACGATAAGACCATGGCGACTGAAGAATTTATTAAATGATTTCTGAAGTAGATTGGTTTCAAAGCCTTGCTGTCTGAGACGTAATGAAAGTCCACGAAGTCTATTTATGAAGTCAACTTTGGACGTGCAAATTCTAGCATATCTCACCAGTTGAGATATATAAACACCGTAAGCTGGATTGGTGGGAATGTTGCTGTCCTTATGTTGTGTTATGTTATGTTATGTTATGTTATTTTATGACTACTGTAAACAGTCTACATGTAAGAGAATCCAAGGCAGTCTTGGATTCTAAATTCCACTCCTTGGAATCCGGATCACCAGATACTGGATTCCAGATTCCCAGTGTCAGTGGAAGTTGGATTCAAGATTCCAATCGTTAGTGGGATTCCGGATTTCTTAAGCTGTATTCCGGATTCTACAAACAAGCAAAAATTTCCTGGATTCTGGAAACTCTATTAGACCTTACATGGGACGATCATACACTCTGAGTCATTCTCAAGAAAAGCTTCCGTTACATTGTGACATAAATGGATGTGACGACATTGCAGTAATAATAGTAAGAAAAAAGCCAGTTGCATCTACGGCAATTTTTTAAAAGAAGCATCAGGTGATTTCAATGGCGGTAACAAACGCGCTATTAAAGTCTTAACTATATAAGCGACACGAAATCCATGACTTCTTGATACACTCGGACGCGCGACAGGCTATATCTAGCCTTCAAGAAAGAAAACATCAGCATCGGAAATTAAGTATGATCATCACACGGTGGCAGTTTTTCCTTATCTATTCAGCTGACAAAACAAAATATATTAACGGAAATGCTTTCTAAAGAAAACATCTCAAGCCTGTATGGCAGATCATCCGGCCAAGCAATTTCATACTGTAGCTACTGCTGTCGAGCTTCTTTTGGCGATTTATCCTCCCCCCTTTAGGCAAACAAGATTGTTCTTCATTTATCCAGAAGTTTACTTCATATTTAAATAAAAGCAGCTTTTCAATTCGTCTTCTATTCCCCGACTTGTTTTAACAAGAAAAGTGTTAAGTAAAAGTTTGAAAATTCTTCTCTTCTTCTCTCTTATTTACTGTTTTATCCACCCATTGTATGCTATTTTCGAACCAGTAAACGCATGACCTTACAATTCAGCGTAATCAACCATTTTTAAATATTCTACCAAAAGTTTGAAATCTGTTGAGTGCATTTTGAGGGTACTCACCCCCCGATACTCCCCTGGATTCGCCAATGAAAATTGCGTACGTGTGAATGACGCGGTGTGAAATAAAACTTAGCCTCATATAAATGAACAAAAAAAAGGATTCAAATGGAACTGAAACTTCTTAAAAAGAAAGTAAATGACACCAGTAGACAATATTTACATTTTATCGGCGACCTATACTGCTTTTAGTTCATTTTTCTGATCTGAGTTTTACTTCCCATACAAACTCTTTATTTCCTATACAGATTCTTATACTAGGCTGGGTCCACCTGCTTTAGTCCGCTTAAGTTGACTGACTTGACTTTTGAGCTTGGCGTGTTATTGAAAGCCGTAATAATCTTGCCAATGGTCCGTTTCACTGACACCTGTGCGTCCACGGTTGCTACAATTGTGTCTTTTAGTAATAAACAATTATAATAAAGCTCAAGTTTATGGTAGCATAAACTGTTGTTAATAAACCTGAGAATGATGCCCTATGAAAGCACACTAGGGACATACTAGCAACAATCATGTCTCTGTTCTTATGTCACACAACGTGCAACATTTGTATAAGTTTTTGTACTAAGTAATGGTAGATACTAGTTCAAAGTACAAGAAAGAACAATGAACACTAACTAGTTGTTTGATTACAATGTATCCTTCTTCTTTGGCAAAGTCCACTGTAACTTAGCATGTTATATTACTAGACTCTACAAAGGTTCCATTCATATTATCACATGCTTATCATGCTCATGTGCTCCTTTTTTTGCGGTACACTGTCCTTTCCCAGTCAGTTCTTTTAGAGCTTCGGTTTATTCACAACAGCGTTTTTTCGCCTGGTCTACTTCCTCACAAATTGCTTCGCTTAAATCGACTTACATAACTCAGTGTACCATGCCAAGGCAAAGGAGGAACATCAACCGTCGAAATGCCGTATTGGATGGCGCCAACGTACCAGCAGAACCAACAGACTACAGGGCCATATCTACCGAAGCTCTTCGCCTTATGCCGGGAGAACGTCACCTCCAGCAAACCGGGAATCGCCGCGAACTTATCTCGCGACTACAACAGAATGAGCAGCAAAGACCGCCCGCAGCACAATCAGCAAGTGCCCGTCCAACTCCAGTATCGCCACCGGCGTTCCACTCGCTGAATTGGCTGCCTTAATCGCCTCCATAGTGGACGAGCGGATGAACCGCCAACTTATCCAAGATGGCGGCGCCAACAATGCCAGAGCTCAACTCGCTCGGCCCAGTCCTTCGAGTAACCTTCAGGACAGCCTCGGGTCCAGTCCTCCTCCACCGCCACAAGATGGCGGCCAAAACAGGACCCGTCAACAACAACCTTCCCTTCACAATCCTCCACCAGGCAATCTCCTCCCAAATACCGCCGTTTCTTCTGGTCTCGCCGTTTCTTCTGGTCTTGGTTCCCTCTCTTCTCCTGTCGACTTTTCCGATCCAGCCCAAGTAGCGTCGCTTCACCCTAACTTCCGACAGCCTTCCCTCGCCAGCCATCTGACTAAAGCCACCTCGACGGCCATCACCAACGGTGAGTACGTGGACTTTGCTTCCCTTTTACCAATGACCTCCCTCCTCACTGACACCATCCATTCCCATCTTAACCTTAAAGTAGGCGATCAGGGTCTAACTATTCCCCTTCCCTCCTCCTATAAACGCCCCCAAATCACCTCTATCGATCGATTGCTCGATGCCTTTGCCATATATTTCGCCGTTATAGTGTCTGTATATCCCTCTCGTGCCGCGGATTTAATAGCCTATCAACAGTTGATTCGAGATGCGGCACGAACGTTCCCTGGAATGGTTTGGTATGTTTATGATGTGGAATTTCGAAGGCATGCCTCCCATAACCTTTCTGCCAAGTGGGGGGAACGGGACATCCAGCTCTACCTCGATACCTTCACAGGCCTCCCCAAATCGGGATGCCGATCTTGCAGCAGCAGTGATCATCTTTCTGATACCTGCCCTTTATCTCCTCGTAGGTCCCGGGATGCCCTTACCCAATCCGACCTGTGTTACAACTTTAACAAAGGCCGACCCTGCGCTCGCACCCCATGCCCTTACCAACACAGGTGTAACCAGCCGGGATGCTCAGCAGCCCACTCTGGGAAAGATCACACTAAACTCACCCGCCACAGAGAAGACAGACCTAAATCGTCTTCAAGCTCTGGCAATTCCTCCCGAGGACACTCCTAATTACCTCTCCCAACTGACCCCTCCCACCCCTATTGACATCAACAAATTTGCATCCTACCCTTAGGGCCATCCAGATCACACAACAGTTAATCATCTTCTCACAGGGTTTTCTCAGGGCTTTAAGATCGGCTATTCAGGTCCAAGGGCCCCCAAGGAATATTCTAACCTTCCTTGTGCAAATATCAACCCATCTGTTATTGACAAAACATGCTAAAAGAGGTTACCCTGGGCCACACAGCAGGGCCTTTTCACATCCCTCCCTTCTCCAACCTGCAGGTATACCCCATTGGGGTCATTCCCAAGAAACATTCTTCGGAATGGCGTACCATTTTCCATCTCTCCTATCCCAAACACCGCCCCACCAGTGTCAACGCCCACATTCCTCCCGAAGCCTATTCTTTGCAATACATAAAGGTGGACCACGCAATTGCCATACTTCAGGATCTCGGTCCAGGATGCTTCATGTCCAAACTAGACATAAAATCAGCATTTCACAATGTTCCCGTCCACCCCTCCGATTGGGAACTTCTGGGTATGAAATGGGAAGGGCTCTATTTCTTCGATATGGTCCTCCCCTTCGGTCTCAGGTCAGCCCTCTTCCTTTTTGATGAATTCTCTTCTGTGGTTGAATGGATCATTCAAACTAAACTTAATATTCCCAAGGTTATCCATATACTAGATGATTTCTTTTTTGCTACCTCCCCTCCCAGATCAAAATGCATGACTGCTCTATGCCAAATTTTGCACCTTTTACAGATCTAAATATCCCCATAGCTCCTGGGAAAACCTTCCCTGCATGCACATGCCTTGAATTTATGGGTATTCTACTAGATTCTGATAAAATGGAAGCCCGTCTCCCGGTGGATAAACTCACCCGCATTCAGGAAGCCGTTGGTCAGTGGACTACTAGGAAATCTGCTACCTTACAAGAGCTACAGTCCCTGATTGGCAACCTTCAATTTGCTTGTAAGGTTATTGCCCCTGGCCGCCCCTTCTTGCAACGCATTATCCACCTTACAAAGGGTATCAAGTTCCCCCATTGGCACACTCGCCTTAATTCCGGTTTCCGTAAGGACATTTCTATGTGGCAACATTTTCTCCAAAATTGGAATGGGGTGTCCCTCTTTTTAGATACCCAGGCCACCTCCTTGCTGGCACTTCAGCTATACACTGATGCATCTGGTTCCCTTGGGAATGGGGGGTTCTTAGCAGGGGAATGGTTCCAGGGCCACTGGCTCCCCCACCACACCCTCAGCCACAAAAGAGGTATTAGTATTGAATGGCAGGAGCTATTTCCCATATACTTGGCCTGTATTTTATGGGGTCCCCGCTGGTCCGGCAAAAGAATCCGCATGTGGTGTGACAACAAGTCAGTGGTGGCTAGCATAAACTCTAAACACTCCAAGTCCCCCCGGGTAATGGACCTTATTCGAGCAATCACACTTCAAACGCTCCAAAATAACTTCACATTCACGGCTACTCACATCCCGGGCTTAGGCAATTCTATCGCTGATTCCCTTTCCCATTTTCAGATGGACCGCTTCCGTACCCTGGCTCCCTCGGCCTCTCCCACAGCCTCTACCATCCCTCCATCAGCGATGAACATCTGAGAGGTTCTGTACAGCGATACCTTCATGCTTCCCTTGCCCCTTCCACTCGACGCACCTATCAAGTTGGCGTCAAGCACTTCCTCACCTTTACACTCATGCATGGTTTAGTAGGCCCCTCAAACCCCCTCGTACCAGCCTCAGAGATAACCCTGATGTATTTTGCATCTCTTTTAGCCAACACAGTATCTTATGAAACAGTCAAGCTGTACTTGGTGGCAGTGCAGGACCTTCATCGGGAGCTTAACTTTCCTCTTAAGGTCAATGACATGCATAGGTTACAAAAGGTCCTGACAGGCATTAAGCGCCTCACTCCTACCAAGCGGCTTGACCGTTCTCCCATTACCCTTACAGTTCTCCATTCCATTCACTCCTACCTTAAGCCCGAACTTTCCTATAACCTGGACAATGTTATGCTTTGGGCGGGCTTCACCCCTTTTGGGTTTTTAAGATCCGGTGAATTCACTTGCAATGGCCCCTTCGACCCCTCTGTCCACCTCACTTCCAAGGACATCACACTGGTACCCAACTCCCACTCACCCAGCCATATGCCAGTCCACATCAAACAATCCAAAACGGACCCCTTCAGACAGGGCCACACAATCACTATTGCAAAGTCCTCGTCACCTATCTGTTCGGTGATGGCCGTGAAAGACTATCTCCTTCAAGTCCAGCGACCATCAAGCCACCCTCTGTTCGCCTTCGCCCAACCCAGACAATGGCTTACACGGAACAATCTTACAACAGAGCTTAGGTCAATTCTTCAACACTGTGGTCTCCCTGCCAACAATTTCTACTCCCACTGTTTCCGTATTGCGGCCGCCACCACAGCAGCAAGGGGGGGTACTCCCTACAACGCCCTATACGGGGAGGTTCCGCCCGAAAAGGGTACCATTTTCAGGGTTCAGGAATATAGCTGTATCTAAACTCATGTAAATATTTCTTCTCGTAACACATGTAAATAATTTTGCCCCGTTGTAATTTGACCATTGTGTATTTGTTATTACTTATTATTGTGTATTACGACAGAATAGCCCCGTAAAGAGGAGTCGTAATAAAGTGTATGTTATGTTATGATTTGTTATGTTATGTTATGTTATGTTTGTTATGATTCTTTATCATAAAACTAATAAGAAGCCAGCTGCCCCCGTGGACCTGTTGAGCCAGACACATCAAGTCTGTGGGTGGAGTTGTTTTCTTTAGACTGAGTTATTTTGATTATAGTGACTTGCAATTGTTTGCCATTTTCAGGTTCGAGGTCGATTTTTCGGAGGCATATCTCATGACAAGTGCTAAAAATAGCGTTTTGGAGCCTCCAAACTTGAAAATTTTCTGGAGGAGGACACCCCGAGACCCCCCATACAAGGCTTGTGCCTTCAGCACGCGCGATAATGCCCCCTTGTTACAAAAAATCTAGTTTCGGCCCTGTTTACGCGTCAGGGGAAACTCACCTTATTGAGGTTTGCTTGGTTACATTGACCGTGAGGTCAGTCTGCGAACGAGAAAAGGAGAAAAGAACATGTTTCTCCCCTTTCTCTCCCCATTAAAACAGGAGAGGGATACCTGCACAGGAGATCTCACAGTTCCGGACGAATTTTCCACCGCCTGAAAAATTTGACCGAACATTTCGTTCATACGGGACTTTGAACTGCTAGACGTCTGATTTCTTTGTACGGTTCAGGTAGTTCCGTGTGAACAGAAAACCTTAACGCGAAACTCGTAAACGCGTAAAATCGTGCAGTGCCTGTTAAACATAATTCTATAATTATTTTGGGACTCTAATCATGAGGTTAAACTTAACTCCAAAAAAAAATAGGGCTAATTAATAGACTATTACAGCTGCAACTGTCAGAACTGTTTAGAACATTAACTCAAGGGTCACGTTCACTCTTGCTCTTAAAATGGTCAGAGATTAAGGAAAGGGAACCATTAATTTACCGGGAGTACATACGAAAATTGATTTGAACCGTTTTCACTAAAAGTTTAATTTAACCTTATTAATCATGATTCAAAACGTTTACGTTGAACAAAGAAATCCTTGACGTCAGTCGGTGCAGGGAATAAATCCGTTGCAAACTTGAGCAGAAATTTTTTAGCTATCTGCTTCCTTCAAGACAACCAACCCTCTCAGTATTTGTTGGAAAGGTAAGGGCTATGTTAGAAGTAGTTTGAGAAAATACAACGATAAGCCTTTAAAACAATTCCTCTCCTCGCATGATCGCGAAGTCATCTTGGTAATAGTCACGGCCGCACAGTTAAACCTCGCTGAATTTTGTCTTTCTTTTAAAGTGAAGCTTACACATTGATACCTTGCAAAAAGGAAGAGTTAAAAAGATACAGCCGGTTTTAATTTGATTTTCTGTGTTCTTTTGTAACTAGAAATTTCAAAAATATCTTTATCTTTTTAGATTCTGAATAATACTATATCGTTGAGTGTTTAAAAGTTCAACAAAGGATAAGTAAGAAGATACCAAGTAACAACCCAAACATTTGCAATGGAACAAAACAACAAACGATGTTGACCCCATGTTGTGAAGAATATATGTTTTGTTTGCTTCAAAACCCCTACCTTTAAACTGACATAAAAGAATAATTGTGGTTAAGAAACTATAAACGGTTAAAGGAAGCGAAAAGAAAGCAGCTGTTAGCAAGAATGGGTAACACAGGTATCACTCGCCTGAGAAAGTTAGGGCGTAAATAATGGAGATACCCGCGATGAACAGGGAAGTGCGCACATCCCTTACCTAGTTCCCGGCACAGGCTGAGAGACTCTAATGAAAGATTTTGTTCTTTTCCCTCCTGTACGATTATTATCAAACTGCGGAAATTTCTTTCATTTGGAGAGCCGTATTGCTGAGGCAGATAGACGCCTATTAAGGTGACTGAACACAGTTTTGGCAGTTTGTGAGTTATATGTCATTTTCCAAGTCATCGTAAGAGGAAGGTTGCAGCTCACAAGCTGAAACTTGGCAAGTGAAAAATATACTGATGAAAGATTTTGATTGACAGGTAAAATTTGACGTAATCGTAGTTTCCATGGCAACATGAACGAATTTTAAGGTTGTATTCACAACCGCAAAATTTCATTTTTGCTCAATTTACATAAAATTCGCTCATTAGATTTTCGTATAAACTTGCACACAGCTTACCATAATTAATCATCACCATTTGAAACTTATTTGATCAAATTTTAACAGACGGGTTTTTAGATAATCAATAATATAATTGTATTGTAAATATTAAATGTGTCACAAAATTCGTCTCTTCAACTTTCATTTTAAGGTTCTCATTATTTAAAATACAATAAAAGTAAAAATTCTGCCAAATATCACAAAATTTTAACGAGTAGATTTTGAGAAATCGTCTTCTTTGAAAGGTTGCTTTTTCGCCGCC